CTCCCCTAGAATGGAGAATCAGAATGCTATGATGGAATGGGGAATTCCGAAGCATTCGGAGTTGGTGAATCACAAGAAGTCTCGATGTTTTCTGCAGCTTCATCAACAATCTATTTCAGTTCGTCTTCTTGATTGTCTTTTTCCTTAGATTCGGAAGAGATGGCTTTTTTTGGTTCGTCAAATCGATTCAGAAATTATTCATCTAGATTAGAGAGAGGAATAGTCATCGGATTCGTTGATGAGAATATTTCCTCAGATTGACAATATGTTTTCTAATACTTCTTCAAATAATTATCATTAAAGGAGATATAATAGGTTTCTTCAATTTTTCTTGATTTCTTGGTCAGAACCCTATATGCTTTCGATGTTAATGAATAACCCAGAAAAATGCCTTTCATCAGCTTTCTCATCAAATTTATTACTTTGTTCTTTGGAATTGAAAATGAAACACCTGGAACCAAAGACATGAAAGAATTTTATGTTAGGTTTTCTTTTCTTCAAAATCTCATAAGGTGTAATTAAGAATCTTTTATTAATGAGTGAACAGTTCTGCGTGAAACAAGCAGTTGCAATAGCATCGACCCAGAAGTAGAGTGGAAGATTCGCAAATGATAACATTGTCCTTGAAACTTCTAAAGAGAGCGGTTTCATCTTTCAATGACACCATTCTGTTTTGGAGTGTAAGGAGCAGAGAAGTTGTGAGCTATCCCTTTTTCAGTTAAGAATCCTTCAAACGCTTGGTTTTTGAATTCTAAACCGTTGTCACTGCGAACTTTTCGAACAAGATTTCGTAATTGAAGCTCAATCTGCTTGATGAAGTCTTTCAGCTTCGGATTGGCATCTAATTTCTGTCTAAGAAAGAACACACTGGTAAATCGAGAAAAATTATCAACAAAAAGCAAGATATATTTTTTACCACCAATACTTTCGATGGCAGATGGACCACACAGATCAGTATGCATTAATTCCAATGGCTCAATTATCTTGGTATTGATGATGGTTGAGTAACTCATCCTACTTTGATTTCCAAGCTTATAGGCAGCACACAGATGTTCCTTGTCAAACTTCAGAAGAGGTAGACCACGTACAATATCACCTAGTACGAGTTTGTTTATGTCCTTGAAATTTATATGGGAGAGCCATTGGTGCCACAACCAACTATCATCCGAAGATTCTTTCGTAAGAAGGCAAATGGGTGGCTTCCCTTTGATCGGTTTCAAGTTCAGTGGATACATTCGTCCCCCCCCCCCCCCTTTTAGATTTCAGAAGCACTGTCTTTGATTTCTTCTCAATGATCTCTGAACCTTCATCATCAAATGACACCTTTGGCGCTGTACCTACAACCAATTGCAAAACACTTATTAGATTACGTTGGAGGCCTTCTACATAAGCTACCTTCTGAATAGATAATTCTCCATTCGTAATCATCCCGTAGCCTTTGATTAATCCGGTAGCGTTGTTTCCAAACTTTACTCTACCGCCATCTTGTAACGGTCTAAATTCTCTTAGTTCTTCCCTCATTCCAGTCATGTGACGAGAATAGCCACCGTCGATGTACAATTCGGAATTGTACTGTTTGTCACGCGTTAACTGCAAGAATTAGAGTGATTTAGGTACCCAAACCATCTTGGGTACTTGTGAGGATTTCTTAACAACAGGAAAAATCTTAGTCTTATCAACCCGAAAGGAACTTTTTATCAAAACATTTTTCTTCTCTTTTATTATTTTGAAAACTTCCATTTTATCATCACAACGATTAATTTCAACTACATTAGATTTTCGTTGAATAAACTCTTTGTGTTTCTTAGCCATCTTTTTCGCAAATGCCTTTTCCTCTTTTTTCAAGTTTGCTTCGCATTCCTTGAGAGAAATCTCTGGTTCTGAATCAACTTTACTTTTGCCCTTAACATCTTTTAATGTGTAGATAGATTTTGAAGACTGTGTTTTCTGAGGACAATTGGATTTATGCTTTTCAATTGGTTTAGAAACATATGGTTTTGAAACCTGTGGTTTGGAAAAAGGTTTTTATTTTGGTTTCTGAATTGGAGAAGAATTCGTATTTTGCACAGAAAATATTTCTGAATTAACAGACTTTTGATTGGAATTCTTATTTTTCCAAAACACGTTCTTTCTTGTAAGTTCTTCCTATATCTAGAATTCAATTGTCTTATCTTAGCAATAAGCTTTTCAACTGACTTATGAATGTTAAATTTTGTTTTATCTTTTCAGGATGGCATTTCGTGTTGTTCAGAAGAGGATTCACTGCTAACTTGCTTCGTGCCACTTGGCCCTGCCCGATCGTAACAAAGGTTTACACGATTCAGTGGTTCCGAAACGTGCTTCCCTTTTGTTTTCCAAGATGTCATTTCAGAAAGACCTTTTGTTTCGTCTGCGTTGTCTTTTGGCACAGACTAGAAGTATTCATCACAACCATCAGCATTATCATTATTAACAAGAGACGTTAGTTATGAAGTATCATTTTCATTTTGTCTGGTTTTTATACAAACTAGAGTCGGAACTGTTTGTACTTTCGGAAAAACCGTGGCTTTTTCATTTAAAACTTTAGAGCCTTTATTTTCAACAATACGAATGAATTCGATTGAATTTTCAGAAATCAAATTTTTCTTAGGCTCATCGCTATTTTTGAACAAAAGTACAACAATCTATTTCATCCTATATAGAAATTTCAGTCATATCGCTTTCATCAAATTCAGAAACGTTTTCGGTATCAAAAGTATTTTCTGAATTTAATTTATTGCATAACGAGTCAAATTTTTGCATAGTATCAGATTTGGTTTGTTCTTTATCCTTATCATTCAACATTTGTTTAAACATATTCTTATGGTCATTGGACTTAATGTATTCTTCGATTTTCTCAAGTCGAATTATGTATGAGTCCGAAACTTCATCAGAAGAAACAATGGAATCGCACTTATAACAATCCGCATCGATTTCATCCTCTTTCAATTCAAGAAAGGGAAAAATCATTTTGTGCAATCCTTTTCCTATTTCACAATAGAGATGCAATTGAGTAATATTAAAATATAACCGCTTAACAATTAAACATAAAATGTTCCTTTGTTTTAAAAAAACAAAACTGTCTCTCCTAAGATAAGTAACTCTTATAAATAATATCATCTCTTGTTCTAGTGAGCTCTACTTCTAACTTCTAACTTCTCAATCCTTAATCTCCTCTCTTCACTTTTAAACGTTATCATGTTGATTTGATCAGTTAGATTGGCATTACTAAGACGATTTGTTTTTAAACTATAACTAAAATTAGAAACAATATATTTTAAATCCTCTAGTTCTGAATCATAACGAGTCACAGGAATTTGAAGAGATTTAAGTATAGAGTTTACCTTATCGATGACATTTTCATATTTCGTCACCTGCTCCAAAACAGTCTTCACTGCGAAAAAGCTTTCAGAATTTTGACCGCCACCAGTTGCATATCCTCTCTGTTCCAAAATGTCGTTCTGAACCAACAGACACGTTCTCTCATAGACCTGCTCATCTGAATATACCACAAAGCACCAACCATGTGTGGGTTTCCTGACTTCATCGTCTTCATAGTGTATCGACCACACCTCGACTCTTCCATCTTCATCGCTTCCTACATAACTTCATCTTCATGGGATCTCAAAATTCCCACAAGCATTGCCAATGAGTAGCTCTTAAATTGTTCATGTGCCTTCACAGTAGACACAATAGCTTTCTACTCAGATCTCAATCCATTCATGAATGTGACTTTCTATTCTATAACTTCATGCTTGAGATTATGCTTAAGCATCATGCTCAACAGATGATTGAACCGACTGAAAGTTTGATCTAGTTTTTCATCAGATTTTTATGCGAACGCTCCAAACTCTGATAAGAGCACAGTTTGCATGGAGTGTTCCAAATCAGCATCACTCTAATAGAGTTCCTTGAGCCTATCCCATATCTCCTTAGCAGTAGTAAATGAACTTACAAGGCGGAAAGTGTCCGGAGGAAGAGAAAACCTTATGATTCTCATCGCCTTTATGTTGCACATAATTTTATCTTTTTCATCTTGATTTCTTTTCTTGTGCATGTGTGCATGAATGTCTCTTGAGTCATTGCCTGCCATATCGTAGCCCCATGTTCTTCAATACCCAGAACATAGTCATCAAAGTGCAATGCTCACACTTCATAATCATGTGGGAAGAGGATTGGATTCCTTGTAGTAGATCCAATAGTACTAGAGAGATTGAAAGAAAGAGTATGAGGATCTTCGTTCTGCATGATGTCAAGAATTCACAAAAACAGATATAGAATCAGAAGTAATACGTGAATCGAGATCTAGAGAAAAACTAGAGATCTAGATCTGGAGCCTACAACCGATTGAAGCGATTGAGACACCAACAACAGATCCAAGAAAAACCATAAACCCTAGTAAAAACTCGACAGAAGAATAGCGAATTAATTACACTATCTCCTGCTCTGATACCAATTGTGGGAATAATAACTATGATCGATAGATTCTATAGTGTATAAAGTGAAATAAATGACAAGAACAATGATCAAAATAGTGCTACATGCTTTGATTATAAATAACCCTAGAAACGTTCAATGAGAACTTCTCTGCAAGAGCTATGTAGGGCGACCAAACGTTAACCCTAGTAATACATGCAATATTTATAGACTAGACGACAAGCATAAACACGAGAATGGACAGGCCCATCTCGGTAAAAGTAAACATATACATGACCTATTTGACACAACATTAATAAGCATATCAGCCTCTTCTTCAGAAGATTTGCGATCTAAACATCTATTTTTGCAATTTCAAGGATGTAACACTTGATCATCCGCTTTAAGTGTTCAAAAATTGGCTCATACTTCTTGAAATCTTTCACCACAATGTAAAATAGAGATAACCAATCATAATGGTTCGTGAATGGCAGATCATCCAAAGTAAACTCGTGAAGAACATGATTGGCACCTCGGAATCCTTTGAACTGTATATTCAAGAAATCTTAAATCTGAACCGAAAATCCAACATTCAATGCCATGATTCTTTTTAAGTTCCATATCTCATATTGTTGTTTTGCATATTTCAAGTAAAATGAAAAGAATTTTTGGTTTAATGCACTATCATAGATCACAAATTTCTCAATCTTCTCAAAACACCTGAAGAGAAATACCCTTGGAGTAATGGGAAAATCAAGCTTAAATTCCACATCAATACTTAAGTCGAAAGAGATTGTTGGCTCCAGCCAGTAGAGATTCGGATCTTTAGTGGCTTCTTTTTGTATACGCTTATGAGACCAAGTAGGAAACAATGATTTATGAGTTACAAGAACTAGTTTCTCATTCTTGGCTTCTGCTTCTTCTGCCTCTAATTTCTTCCGAAGATCATTGAGTTTGTAAAGCTCTTTTTCTCCTTTCTCTCTTTCCAACTCAATCATGTTCATATCTTCATCATTTTATTATTCATAAATACCGTTTCTGTTATCTTTCCTTATCCGGAAGCTTCATTATCCTTCCCATCATTTTTAGTCTTTAACTTTTCTTCCTCCTCTCCCCCTTGTTTCATAGAAGCCCCGCTTCCCGAAACACCATGTATCTGATTGAGCAATGTGATCACAGGTCGGACCTTTTCTGAGAGAGACTAATGCACCGAAATAGTGAATAAAGAGTCACGAGACTCGATGATGTGCAACAGTCATTGGTTGATATCCAAAACACAACCTTTAACTAAAGATTTTTCTTCTTCAAGCTTTGCAATATAATTTTTGGCATTCTTTAGCTTTTCAGAAAGAACTTTCATTTTCTGAGTTTTCTAGCTAAGTCAAATTGCAACTTGGTCAGTTGTGTCGTGATTGATGAATTGAGATCAACATTGTCAAGCTTGATGTCTCCATGGAGTTTTGAGAGTGCTTCCTTTTTAGCTTTCAAATAGGATCGAAAGCCTTCAATGACTTTATTCATATCTACTATATTCTTATCAGAAGAGGTCTGGAAGTCAGCCATGAATTCCTTGACTTATTTTTGTAATAGCAGAACCTTTTCAGCAGCTTCAGAGATTCTCATTTCTGAAGCTTGACATGCCTTTCTTGTTTCTTCAAGGACTTTGGCATTAGACGATGTGAGCATCTCCACGACAGCTATATGAGATGTCAACATGTATTCCGATTTTGACGAAGAAGATAAGTTAGAGAACTCCAAGATAGAATCAAGCTTTTCATTCAGCTGCTTCAACTGTCCTTTTGTCATTGGAGCATCATCATCATCACTGTTGATGCTGATAGTGAATGGGTTGAAGACAAAATCAGTAATCGATTCTTGATCTTCTCCAAACAAGATTTCATCATTGTTATGTTCAGGAGGAACCGAAGATGAAGGTTGTTCGGAAGTCACACCAAGGGTAGCATTTGGCCCCACATCAGATGCGTTGCAAGGGATGCCGGAAGTCCTGATCTCCTCCGAAACGAATTTAAAAGAAAGTACTTGTGGCGGAGTAGAAACCGTTGAAGTTTTAGGAGGGGTTTAATCTGTGAAGATAGGCGAGGATAAAGGGATTGAGATCTGAGGAAGTGATATTGCAACATAACTCATTGGTGATAGAGGAGGGATAGATGATATCAGAATTATGGAGGTGATAAGTGAAGATGTCATTTGTGATGTTGGTGGAGTGAATGGATGTGAAGGTGGAGAGGTGGTGAGATTCAGAAATGGATCCTACATAATGTTATCAAATATCTCTGGTTTCGGTATAGAAGCGGTTGGAGGAGCAGATACCTTCGAAATATTTTCTTTAGGGATCGGTTAGGAAGTGGCAGTTGTATCTTCCTATTCATTTCGGAGTGTGTTATCCTCCTAAACTTCAGTGACATTTCTATCTTCATATTCCTCTTGAATGACCGGTGATGGAGATCTCGGTTTCTGAATTGGTTTCTTTGCTCTCTTAGGAACTTTGACGCTTTCTGAAGTAGCAGCCTTCACTTTTCTTTTTCCTCCCTTCTTTGGTTTATAACACTCATCTATTATCTTTTGTAATTCTGCTGGAATAGGACGAACACCAGAAAAGGGCAATTTCCGGTAAGCCTTAATGATGGCGTTGTCCAGCGGTATCTTTTCCAACATAGCATTAGGAATATAACCAACAAATTTGAAGTTACTCAGATCTGACATAACAAATGTAGTCGTCTGAAGGATCGAAATTTCAGCCATAAGAGAATATTTCATCAGTGGAACCTTGAAGTGAGTTAGGGATCGGTTCACAACTACTGACCAGAAACGAGCACAAGAAATTTCTATGTGTCGTGTAGCCGAAGTGGTGCTTTGCATAGATTGATTCCAGATTACATACCCATAGTCCAAGTTGATTCCATGGTAGAGGACATAGATTAAAGTATAGAACTGCTTATTGGCACTGTCAGACCCCTTGACCCTTTCTGATAAGCTTTTAAACATAAGGGCAAATAATCCATTCCATATCGGCAAGAAGGACTTTCTGAACCTGGAGAGCAAGGAGATGTCGTCGATGTACCCCATATGGTAGAACATTTTAATCATATTGGTTGTCGGAATTGATTCAAGATCGGCACTGACTTCTTGTGTAATGAGTCCTAGAAGTTTGCAGAAGTGGGGCTTTAAAATCGATCTGTTGTGGTTGGTAACCTCGAAGTGGATAACATCTTCAACCTTGTTGTAGAGAGCAGTAGAGAAGGATTTAGAAACATGAACAAGTGGAACTTCTTCAGCTATTGTTAACGCCTTCATCAGTGGTGAGAACTTGAGACATTCAATCATGTGCCTGGTTAGGGCATTGTAACAAGAAGCATCGAAGTCAATTATCATGTTCTGGTTGGGCTTAACAGTGAGCATGGTGACTAATGCAGACTAATCGGTGAAGGAGACATGCTCAAATGAACCGTCCATTGATGATTTGAGAAAGATGATGAACAGTAGAGAGTAAGACATGTTTTTCTTTGAAAATCTGAGAGTTATGTTTCCAGTGAAGGTAAATGAACCATTTGATAGCCTTTTATATGAAACATGATGAGTAGAAAGAGAAACTGTCGTTTAACGATCCTGTAGCACCAAAAAATTAGCCAATAAGATAGTTCTAGCTCATCAATGATTGTCAAAAAACCGTTACAACAACAACGCGATGTCAGGGAATTTCAAAAGTCGCGCCATGATTTACATTTTCCTTAAGACGACAAGGGAGTTTCAGAATCTCTACTTTCAAAATCATTAATCATCCATCAGAATTATAACCAACATCCAATCTTCTGAATTAAAGTGATCAATCAAAACAGTAACCAGACTTTGTAAAATCACATGGATTCTTGTGCAGGAGTGTGCCAAAGAAAAAGAAATAAAGCAAATTTAATATGTGGGATTCTGTGATACCGAGCAAGTTTGATATGAAAAATTGGTTGATCGTAGGCAATGATCTCTTCCTTCTAAGTCAAGAGAGACTCTGAAGTGCATGTGTGGTTTCCCGTTTAATTACGATCATCAGTTTGTTGAGAAACTATGAAAGGCTTCTTTTATTAAGGCTTAAAGGGTAGTTTCAGCTTCTAACAAATTCCGAAACTTAACATAAGTCCGAAGATTTGAAAGAAGTACTGGTTTGACCATTATAGGCATAAATACAAGTAAGCATTAGGTATCCTATTAAGGTAACTGGGTATTTTGGAAAATCTTTATTCTGAAATATCAAAAAAAAAACTTGGATCTTGTTCAGAAGAAATGTATTACGTCGAGAACATTTCATTAAGATCACCCAAAAATAAAAATGATATTTTAAACACTCAAAGATATAAACCAAAAGGTTTTATCCGTCAATTCATTGGGTAAATACCTAAAATAACAAAGTGTTAACCGTCAATTCATAAAATAAATTTGGATTTTTGGGTTTCACTTGAAATCATGGTGATAATGATTTTAAGATCGTAAACACAAATGTTTTATAAACTAAACGTCGGTGGTAAAACCTAATAGTCTTAAGGGTTATGATATAGAATAATATATTAGTAGTTGAATGGTTAGGAGTTTCACGAAAATCATGTTGAAAATAATTTTACGATCATTAACTAGAGATTTGTAGCCGTAAACCGAAACTGTTTTTGTTCCGATAGTCAAGGAAACTACATGAAAGTTGTGATGAGATATGGTAGAAATAAGTGATAAAGTCGACCATCAATTCATTGTCGCAAACTTAAATTCAGTTTTGATTTTTTGAAAAGAAAATATTTTTGATGTTTTTGACTTTTCACAACATTAAAAAGAAGAAAACATTTTTGATATTTTTGAGTTTTTAAAAAGAAAATATAGAAACAAATAAAATATTTTTGGTATTTTGATTTTCTGAAAATAACGAAACTAACAGTAACTTCAGAACGAAAATAGAAAAGTAGAAAAAAGTAATGGAAATAACAAAAGACTTACAAAGAGAAAAGGTTCCAGAATCCTAATGAACAGTAACTTCAGAACCATTCTGAAGATCAGAGCAAGTCGGAAGTGAACTGTGGATTCCGAACCATTCCAAAGCTCGGAACCATTCGGAAAGTGAACAGTAGCTTCCAAACAATGACGAATATTGATGTGCACTAATTATACCTATCAACTTTTTAATTTATATCCTAACAAACTTGTGCTAACTATGCACCTATAGGTAGTGTAACTAGTTAGATTATAGTATAGCTTTAGGTATGTCGGGTGTCGATCGCAGGGAACGGTTTTAATTAATTTAACCAGTAAAAATTAATCAGGGAACAAGCAAAAGTTTAATTGGTTTTCATCTGATTTTGCAAGTTCAAACAAACTTACTCACTTAATTACCAAATTCAATCAATGACTAAAACACTTATGTTTATTTTGAGTCCACTTCTCCTCATTGGTTAGTTACTAATTATGGATAATTCACATTGGTCACCAATTATTATATTATTAGTAATTTAAGTCCAAATATACTAATGTTTAACAATTCATGTAGAATTATGCATGGTCACACATAATTTAACACAGAATCAGTTATGAATTATGTAACACCTATTCCAGGTATCATTTAATTTATCGAATTTTTAGGGTTTTGTGCTTGGACTCAGCGAGTTGGGGAGCTCCAACTCGTCGAGTAGAGTCATTTATGAGGACGCGGGATTCAGACCCTACTCGACGAGTCGGAAGGCCCCGACTCGACGAGTTGTCACTGTTACTAGAAACCCTAATTTTCAGGGCTTTGTACCCTATTTAAAAAACTTATGGCTCATTTACAGCCTCTTCCATCGTTCCTACAACCAGAGAAACCCTAGTTTAAGCCTTGCACCTTCTTGAGAGAGAAAGAGATATTTTGAGAGTGATTTTTGGTGTGATTGTGAACATTTTTGAGCTTGAAGAAGAAGGAGCAAAGAGGGAAGCAGTAGATCCGACATCCACCCTGTATTGGTCACCATATTGAAGT